GAGTCCAGAGTTTTTGTTTTTCTTAGCATCATTTATATAAATCATCAATTTAGTTCAACGCAAACCTTCTATTTTGACCCGAGCATCTTCAATTCAAATTTCAATCTGACGCAACTCTGTTTTAAATCCACACCCATTCTAATTTCACGCACAACATATATATTATATGTAAAACTCATAACCAACTAGGAAAATCGTAACTGCAAAATGGGTTTTTAACTTATGGAAGGCATGATTTAACAATTTTAAGAATTTACTTTTGTGTAGTCCGTATTGTCACATCACTGGTATTAACAAAATATTACTAAGACTTAAAATATCCAGTGTTAAATAATCCTAAGTTGAATGATAAATTCCAAAGAATTGACCATTTTGACTGAAATTTCAAAATTTTCAATATGACTAAAAAATTTTGACTTGGTCCAAAAAATTACAATACATTCAAAAAATTTCAGCGTCCTTGTATATGGGTATTACGGTACTGAAAAACGAAACTTTCAAGAAAAATTCATATGAATTGATTAACGCATGAATTATATGCATGTAAAAGAAGGATAAACGTGTATAGAGTGAGTTGAAAGTGGTGTTCACACTGGTGTTCACAACTAAAACATGCTAAAAAAAAAAAAACAACCCTCACTAAATCTATTATCTATGAACCCAAATTGATCAATAAACTTTAAAATAAAAACAACTTAGGAATATCTTAAATATAATCAGGGTTTTCCACTACCAACAAACTTATCTTGCCTCAAGAACTCCCGAATATTAGTTTAAAAAAAAAAAATAGCTATTTGTTAGTAACTATTTTGTTTTGGTGCTGTTAAAATTCTTTTATCCCTTTTATTTATTTAGAAAATCGTTATTAATCCAACCACTTTAAATTAGAGATTTATTTTTAAAGTTAGCTTTCTAACGTTTCTTGAAACTTAGAATCAACTTTTAAGATGATTGATTACTTGTGTAATGTTGCGTTTTCAAAAAAAAAGTATATACCCGGGCAATTGGGATGGCGGTCACAATCGGTTACGATCGGTCATAACCGAATTGCTAAATTTTGAAATGGTTTTTTCTCCATAATCTATTAATTAAAGTTGTTCAGAAGTAAGTTCTGGCCATATTTACTTATGGGATAAAATCAAATTATCTTCTCTAGAATTCAAAATCTTAAAAATTCATCATCGGTCACGTGTAGGTCTAATCGATACATGGCCGATGATGAATTTTTAAGATTTTGAATTCTAGTTTAATTAATAGATTATATTTAGCCATTTGTTATGACTGATCGTAACATCCCTACCCATGACCGCACATGTGATGCATGATCATATGGACAAATAACTCTGCACATTAACGACACTATCTGAGAGTCATTAAAATTTCTAGAGTTGTACTATCTTGAAAAGAGGTATTAATACGGATGAGTTGAGAGATAGATTCAAATATCGACATCCATTGTAAAATATTCGAAAATGTAAAAAGAAATTCCATGCAATGATAAAGTTCCTAGGTTTCACCACGAGATATCATTTCACGAAAATATAATATATATATAGTGAAAAATACGATTATTTAATAAAAGTTATAAATTTTTTCATACAACAATTATTAAGTACGAATCTAATAAAACTATAAAATAAAAGTACATAAATCTTGAATTATCAAAGTTTTATATTTACAATAAAATAATAGGTGATATTATAATTCACTGGTAAACTATTCTACTATTAACCTAATAGAAAGCGACCTAAATCAATTCATTTCAATAAATAAAAAGAAGATAGATTATCTATCTAAATTATCTAATTTTCATAAAGTCTATGAATGCTACTATCCTATCATTAATGGTGTTAAATATAAATTAAAAATTATATATAATATAAAGTTCATCGTCATCAAGAAGATAGTAAAGAAGTCTATACATAATAATTGCATTTAAAGAAACAATGAAAAATTTCCAATACTTTTTTATAATTTCCTTATAAACGTAACATGTCCAAAGGAGATGAAACCCTAAAAATATTAACATAACAAGTTCTAATTCACGTGTAAAGTGATTCCAACGCTTATATGATAAATATACGCAAAGATAACAGAGATAGAATATAGGAACAACAAAACAATAAATTATAAAGGAGAACATATTTGGATATGTCTTCTCTCCATCATGTGAATGTTCTGGATTATTTTCTTCAAATAGTTCATCGTGTGTATATTGTAAATTTTTATGTTCAACTAACTTATCATTTGGATATTGTAGACAATCTTCAATTAATTCTGATTCCTGATAATCTTCAATTAATTCTGATTCCTTCCACCGTTTGTCAATGGCAATCTCTTGAATTGATTTTAAAAATGGATTTAAATCGTTAACTAATTGTTTGTAAATAAAGCAAATACTTGGTTCTTCAATTATCGTCATATCCTTTCCGAGTTTTTCTAAAAGTTTACTGGTCGTATATACCATAATTAACCAAATGTCAGCATCATCTTGTGTAGGTTTCTTTTTTCCAAACTCCAAGAATGGATCAACACCATTTCGTAAATGAGTTTGTAACATAACTATGTGTTCAATTGTATCTCCAACACCATATAATATCGATACTTGTTCTTCAATAATTGCGCGAAAAGGGGATTTTCTACTCTTTTTGAATCTCTTTAACCATTGGAATATATTCTCGGGATAAAATGCAAAATCATCAATTCCAGGTATACGGCAATGCCCTCCGTCTAATCCATCTTCGTAGATATTCGATGTACCATTGTCACATACAGTCTCATTCGTTCCATACGCCAAATGCTTTCCGGCTCTATCAACCTCATCCATCAATTGAGCGAGCATAAAACTTAGCAATGAACTTGCTTGTAAATTCTTAAAGCATCTATTCTTGGAGATTATTAGTTCTCGATGTTTAAAATATTTTGGCAATTCCAGAAGTCTATTCGATTCTAGCTTACGGCGAAGCTTTCCTACGTGTTCTAGACTATTTTCGAGATCGCTGACCGATAGATGTTTATATCCGATATTTTCCAACTTCAAAAGGATTTTAAAAGCGAATAAAGTGTAAAGGTAATATGGAATGTTTTTGTAATGTTTTTCGAACCAGCGATAGAATTTTTGTGACACTTTCATTTTTTTTTTCGATTAAATTTGGTAAAGTAGGTGGAAATTTCTTTTTGGATTTAAAGGGAAACAAAAAATTGGAAGAGCAGCTTTTATCGTAAAATTCTGGAGATGAGATGGGAGACTAACACTTTTGTAGATTATTTAAAAGTTTGAAAAAACCGATTCGATGTATTATTTAAAAACCCGAAATCTATTATCTGTCACCGTATGCATTTTTCAATGTAATCAAAAAAAAACTTTTAAATCATTTAGTTCATTGTTGTATTGTTCATTTTATCTATGGCTATCAATGGATTCCAATGTCATCAATCGATATATAAAATAATAGTATTGTGTAAAAAATTAAATTTAGACACATCAAAAATTTTACGAACAATACATACATGTCATTTGCATGGTAATTTGATATTCGCAACGATAACAACGATAATGGATCATTCTTTTAAATAAGTTTTATAAGTTTTATGGTGCATCACCTAATAAACAATTGCGAGTACCTATCCATTGATTAATCCCTGCTTCCAACGATCCATTATTTTATTACTCTACAATAACCAAAGTACGTTGGTACATACTATTAGTGGAAGGGTATATATGCATTGTCAAGGTTTTTCACTTCTCAAACGTGCATTATATAAATTAGTGGCATCAGTATCTCATTGTAAAAAAAAAAATGATGACTTAAGAAATTTTACAAGTTTCGTAAGAAATTGAAAATTTCCAGAGTTGAGAGTCTGAAAATAAATTACTCTCTTTTGTACAGATAGATTATATAAACAACACATTAAATTGACTTCATCCCGAAGATTTGAATTTTTTTCTTTTCAAAAATTATCGAAGGTGCATTCTATCTAATAATTGAGTGCAAATTCGAGTTCTGGGTTACTTGTCTAATCACTTTTCACTGGATCCAAGTTCTGACAGTCATTTTACAAACTATTCGTTTAACTAACATCGGGAACCATCAGAACGTAAGTACTATAAAATCATTTTTTTTTTTTTTTTTTTTATGGTTTAAAAGTCTTTAGTGAAATACATTTTGTTATTATGTTGTTATAAAAAAAACTTTTTTTACATTGTTCCAGAAGTGTGTATAAAAGGAATATACGGACTTCGCAAATCCATTAAGTCGTTTATATTTATATTATAATAAAAAAATTAAATATATAATCTGTTACCTATAGCTCGACCTTTTTTTTATTTATTATAATAACAGTAATAGGAACAAAACTACGAAAAAATTTTTATATTAAAAATCAAAATATGCACGAGTGAAAGTAATATTTTAGGTCAGAGTGAAACCCGCACTAAATGTTAGTAAAACCCGCCTTGATTATCGGGTTAGGGTGAAATCCGCGTTAGCATAGTATATATTTCTCCCTCATGTGTTCTGTGGGGTTCACCTGTCATAATATTTTTATATCAATACAGCTTTATCGATATGTTAAAAAAAGACAAAATACTAAATTGATCTATTTCCATCTTTTTATCATTATCGATAGTTTTATTGACCAATCTTACATAGTTTTGATCGAGTGTTCAACTATTTCTAGAGCACTAGCGATATCAAGAAAACAGCCAAGCTAAATTCGATAAAATTTTTCTTATTTTATTCTATGAACATAGCGATAGAATTAAAATAAAACAATTCTGGTCGAATTCGATTAATTATATTTTATAAACCTTCATCCTATTCTTGCAACAATAAAACATAATACCCGAAAAAAGAAAGGCTTGCAGAAACTGAAGCTAAAGTAGATCTTTTAGAAAATGTGTTATCGAATACATTTTAATTGTAAAGCGATGACTAGAGTACCGGATCGATAAAATCACCAATATATCTTTAACATAAATACATTTCGGTTTCTTGAAATAAGTTTTTTCTGGAAACATAACAGACGTAATTTTAATTTAATTTCTTATTTTAAATTTTCATTTACAATTGCCGAATATTCAGATATTTCTTTTATTGAAATTCTTGCAGGGATATAGGTC